TATATATATATATATATATATATGTTTATATATATATGTATATATGTATATATATGTATGTATATATGTATATATATGTATGTATATATGTATATATATATGTATGTATATATATATATATGTATATATATATATATATATATATATACACAAATATATATTTGTTTATTTATTTATTTAAATTTTCAAAAGAAAGACTTTTGTTGCAAACTTTTCCAAATCAGATGATTGTGAAAGCACCCATTCAAGGTGCGTATGAACAGAGAGTGCAAGGTGACAAAAGACCCCCATGCCCCCCACCTCAAAACTGAATCTGGCGCCGCTGAGTAAAAGGAGCTAAACTGAATCTGGAATCTGAATCTGGAAAAGTACTTTAGAATAAATGACAACTCATTCTGCAAAATCTTTTTTTCTAGTTTAAAAATAAACTTTTGCTAAACAGTAATGAAATTCCTGTTCATAATAATGAAATTATTTTTTTCCTGAACACCAAAGATACATTTTTTAAACAAATGGTTTGATTTGATAAAAATACTGTAATGAAAACCTATTTGATGTTTTAATAAGAATATTTATAAATGAAGGCTGCTTCAATAAGATGATAATCAGTCATTTCTTTTGCATATAATAAAAAAATTATACAGCTTAACTGTTATTTAAACAAAACGCTGCAGATTAAATTGCACCATTTACTAGAAACTAATATGAATAGTTGTCTTTGTCAGCATCTTTCAGACTAACCAACTGAGTATTTACTAAAGAAAAAAAAAATATATTTATTTATTATTACTCTCAAAATAACTTTCTATGTAACATATGAAAGAGAAGTAATATAGCTAGCTAGAGCCTTTTTCTAAAACTTACTGTTTATAATTAAAACAGCAGATGGATTATTATTCATTCTTCATCTGATATTACAGTAACTGTCCTGAAGCAAATCACAGAGCGCTGTAAACAGCTAACCTCTTAGCAACTTTAACTTTAGAACTGTTAAAGATTCAAGCTGTTTTCATTCTCTTACTGCATCTTGAAGATGTTGTTGAGCTCAGAGCGAGGGCACAGACTGTCCAAGAAGTTTCGGTAAACATCAAGAGTAAAGTCCTCCAGTTTGATACTGTCACCCTGCAAAAAAAAACAAAAAAAACCATAAAGGTGTAATTTTGGGTAGAACAAGTTATTGTAAAATGGTTCTCAATGAATTGAGCATGCCTAAAAAACTTTTTAACTATAGAAATGCATTTTTCCTAAGCATGAGCGATTTCTGTCAGCAGATAATCGGCTCTCACACCACTGCTACTTAATGGCTGCTTGAAAACCTTAATGACTCATAGTTGAACTCATTTCACCTCTTTATGTCATTCCTGACAAAAAGCACTGGATAAAAGGACTCCACAGCAGCAAGAAAATAAAAAATAAATGCTATTGTGGGTGTCTAAACTAATTAAAAAGCAGTTAAAATCATTAAAGTCATATTCTAACTGGATACAGTCTTTGTTTCCAAAGCTGTAAAATGTGCAAACTAAAACTGGAAGCAATAGAAAAAAAACACCACTTTTTTTCTTCACTTTAATGAGAAATTAAAGGTGCTAAGTGCTAATGTCGAAGATATTGCAGAGTTGCGATCTGATTACATCACTTTACATTTAGTTTTGCCACTCAGTAACTCGATGACAGCAAATGCTTCTTTATCCAACGTGTATGACATCTGACTTATGGTGTCATTTTTTAACAGTCACTAACAACAACCTGAACATAAATACTAGAGCCTGACCAATATATCGTTAGGGTCGATAATTTAGGCTGATATAGATGTTTGGAGACCTGTTGATATCAGTGATAACTGTCCCATTATGCTCCGACATAAATAATTTTAATTTTGACCTGTGAAATCCTGGGAACCAACTGTAATTGCACAATGCATCCAGCAGAGGGCCCATGAAGACTATTTTCAAGTCATGGCCATTCACTTAAGTTTCACTTTCACATTCAGCACAGATGAAGCAGAGAGCAATACTGTGTAGCATATTTTGCTGAACAGAGCAGGGTAAGTTTATTTTTAACTTATCTTTAAAACAAACCAACAATAATAAATTATCTTCAATTCTCTAACCTGCTTGCTTAGCTACATGCCTCTCAAGTTAGCAAGCTAACATTTAGATAACCTAGCATAGGCTATTGCCATGTAAAACCTTATCCAGAACTATAAATCTAATGTAGAGGTAAAATATATTGTTAGTAACGTTATCTTTGTTGTCCTCAATGAACTGTATTGTTTGACTGAAATCTTTTCTTCTCTGCAAAGAAAACAAAAACACTGCTTCAGTCAATACTAATTAGGCCTTCACCATATGAGACTGAATGCTTAAACAATGAACAGGGAAGGGAGTTTAATTTATACATTAGTAACACACTTGATAACTTTATGGTGAATAGTGGAGAATAGAAAATGTGAACACACATTAGGAAGACTGTTTTTATGACCAGTGCACCACTTGTGCTACTGTGGGACTACATATAGCTGAATCTGATTTTCTTAAGCACTAAATAAACACGCCCTGCTCCACTCGCTGTTTTCTTAGATTCTTGGGGGTGGACAAAGCTCAGAAATTTTAAGCCATTATATTGGCTATTGGCAATTTCATTCCCCTCCCAATATTGGTATGGATGATACACAAATTTTCCATATCGGTTGGGTTCTAATAAAAAAACAATCCAACACTAAACAGAAAAACCAACAGGGGCAACCCATCTGAGCATAGAACCTGAAAAAGTCCATTGATTTTTGCCCCAAGATTACCCAGAAGGACATGCGGCTCATGCAATCTCTTGCATTCAAGTGCAACATGTAATTTCAATAATTCACAAAGAAATTAACAATAACCCCCAGAACTTACTGTTTCTGTAAAATTGCACCATGTAATAAAACCAAAACACAACTTTAATATTGAAAATAATCGATGTAAACCTAAATGTGATATTTTACCATTTGTTTAGAGCAGCTGGAAGAAGAAAGCCCTAAAAGTTTGTCAGAGACCAAGTGAATGTGTTATGTACAACCTCTGGATACAGAAGATTCAAGGCAACACTGTATTCTGTAAGGGTGTCTTCACAGTAGTTGTAAAAAAAATGTGGTTTTTAACTTTCATCTATTATTTTCATTACAGCTGCCACAACAACAGTCTGACAGTCTGTGTTTGCCACCATCAAACTGTGTGGTCATGTTTTGTGTAGTCAATAAAAAAAAACAGTTTGTAAAACTGTATTCTAGGCCATGCATATTATTTTATTGCCCACTTCTATCCACACTGTACCTGCCGTGATGCCAACACCTCAATAAGGAAAGTATTTTTTATCTGTTCAAAAAGTTGCGAGAAGTTGCTTTGTTTCATTTTTATGTCACAATTCCAACCTTCTTCTTTCATTTAAGCTTGGGACTGGCAAAGGTGACCCAAAAGAGACAGAGTTATTTTAGTGCTGTGATGTATTTTAATCAAAGGCAGTTTTGTAAAAGGCCTAACATCGGGCTCTAAGCGAGGGCAGGATCAGCTAGTGGCAGCTTTGCACATGCATTCTTCATTTGAAGTCTATATGCAGGGTGGTGAACATCTCACTGCTGTGAGAAGTGGGCCATCTGCAAGCTTGGAGATGGGGGAGGGATGCACGGCAGCACCTGCTGACTGTTGAGAAGAGTAGATGCTTTCAGATCAGAGTCTACAAAACTCTCCATTTACAACAAAAACATGTCATTTGATTATTGCCTTTTTAAAAACAGCTGGTATAGAGGTGAAATACAGCAACGAAGATGGTAACGTAACTTGGCAAACTCTGAGTATCTGCTTCAGCCAACTTTGTACCCACCGTGGCGGCTGACCTCGTGTTTAGACACTTTAGAAAAATAGCAGATTTGAACTAGATGTTTATTATTGTTAATTGATTATTGGTGTGGTTTTTAGGCATGGACATGTTTTCTGCCAGAGGTGTCAAAACACTTTTGTGCTCTTAAAACAGGTTTGAGAGACCTACAATGTAGTGTCTCAGACTCGACCACATTTGGTCTCGGTCTTGTCTCAGTTCGGACATTGAGGACTCGGGATTTTATTTCAAGACCAGTCAAGACCACAACTGTGGAAATATCACTACATTGCCTGAATATTGTCCTGTTTATTTGTTAACTTGTTTTTATTGGATGCAAAACGTACCGATTCATATCCAAACGATAATGTGACTCATTGCTAAATACATTTTTTGTTACCGTTGTCACGCCCACCCCCTTTCACTCGCACGCATACTCCCAGTGTGGCCAGATTGGGTGGTTTATTGCCATTTGGGTGGTTTTCATTCTGATTTTGCTGGGAACTATGGGAAGATTTTTGTTGGATTGTTGCATTATGCCACATATTGTTAAATTACCTTGGCTTGTACTGATGCTCGTTCATGTTCAAAGAGTAAATATACTGTAACTATATATTGATTGGGCAGATTTTTGTCTGATATGGCAGTTTTTAACAGATTTTTGAGCTGGAAAATCTCAACTCTACAGTATCTGGCAACACTGGTCACTCCAAGAAAGTGAGAAGTGATTGTTTGGGTGTGGGAGAAGATGTCTGCCATATCATCAGTTATAGAATTTGCCTATTTAAATCACAAAGAATATAACAACAAAGTCCATGCTCAATAATCCAGGTATACAATCCAACATTTTTCAGTCAGGTCAGGTCACAAAGAATATACTTGTAACTAATGCAACTATATGGTTATCTTGGTCTTGAGTTCAGACTTATGAAGAGTGTTTTGCCACTGCAGTTTTTTAAGGCTTGGCATGTGATGAAACTGCTTCCAATTTAACAGTTGTGTAATTTTATTGTTGAAACACAAGCAGTTAGACCACTGAATGTCTGATTTCTTTGTTATTTAGCTTTGAAAATTTATAAAAGCTTATACATTCATTCAAAATGATTCATTCAATGATGAGTCCAGCTGCAGGCAAGAGGTGGAGCACCTGGAGAGCTGGTGCAGAGAGAATAACCTTCACATCAATGTGAAGAAGACAAAGGAGATGATTGTGGACTTCAGAAGGAACAAAAACACCTACACCCCCCTGAACATAAGAGGATCTGCGGTGGAAGTGGTCTCCAGCTACAAGTACTTGGGTGTACACATGAATGACAACCTCAGCTGGAGCAACAACACCACCAGCCTGATCAAGAAAGCTCATCAGAGACTCTACTTCCTCAGACGGCTGAGGCGAGCTGGTCTGGGAAGCTCAGTCCTCACCTCCTTCTGCAGGTGTGCAGTGGAGAGCATCCTGTGCTCGAGCATCAACGTGTGGCATGGAGGCTGCACAGCTGCAGAAAGAAAAGCTTTGCAGAGAGTGGTGAAAGCTGCAAAGAAGACTGTTAGAGTCAGTCTCCCCACCATCACAGACATTTACACCTCCAGATGCAGGAAGAGGACCACCTGCATCGTGGAGGACCCCACTCGCCCAGCGCACACACTTTTTGCCCCACTCCCCTCAGGGGGGAGGTTGAGGAGCATTAGATGTAGAACCACTGGACTGAGGAACAGCTTCTACCCTGAGGCTGTTAGACTCATGAATCTCTAACTAGAATAATCACTGTGAAAAACCATATCATGTTGCTGCTGATCTGTTTCATGTTGCTGCTGATCTGTTTCAATGTTGATGTGTTCATGCGTGCACATCTGCTCACAGACTCATGTTCATGTTTGTGCTGATGTTCAATGTTTTTATGTTATGAGTGCTTAGTGTATATTTAGTTGATGTTTTTCTTAGTTCATATCTTAGATGTTATTACTGTTTTTCTTATACATTTTATTGTTGGATGTAACTGGGACCCTGTGTACATAATTTCGCTCCACCACATGTACCACATGAGGTGGGAATGACAATAAAGAAACTCTGACTGACTGACTCTGAAAAGCAAACAAAGTTACAGTATGTAACTTGTATTAAAAAAAATTATAATAAAATTTTATATCATACCATACCATTTTATTTACAGAGCACTTAAAACAGCGACAAGGCCAACCAAAGCACTGTACAGACAGAAAAACAGACAACGCACGAAGCAAAATACAAAATGAAGTAAATCAGAATATAGACATAAAAACTGTTCAGTGATTTGTAGACATACATGAGTATTTTGAACTAGATTCGAAGGTGAACCGGTAGCCAGTGCAGTGAGGCCAAAACTGGTGTAATGTGCTCTCTTTTGCCTGTACTGGTTAAACATCGGGCTGCTGCATTCTGGACGAGTTGTAGTCGTGCAATGGAGGTCTGACTGATATCAAACAGGAGCGAATTGCAGTAATCAAGCCTAGATATAATGAATGCATGTATTACTGTCTCCAGGTTATTTTTGGACAATATGGGCTTCAGTTTAGACAGCCGCCTCAGTTGGAAGAAACATGATTTAACAATCATGTTTACATGATTGTTAAGTTTCAGGGAAGGGTCCATTATCACTCCCAGATTAGTGATTCTTTGTTTTTCTGACAGGGATAGAGTAGAAAGGTCGATGCAGTGGTTTGTGATTGTGTCGTTGGGAGGGAACAACATGACTTCAGACTTCTTTTCATTGAAACTTAAGAAATTTAAAGCCATCCAGTCCCTGATGTCAGCCAGGCAGTCGAGCAGAGGTTGAATAGAGCATGTACCATTGTGTCTAAGGGGGAAGTAAATTTGACAGTCATCGGCATAGAAGTGAAAGGGTATGTTGTGTTTCCGGAAAATAGCACCAAGTGGTAGCAGGTATAAAGAGAATAGGAGGGGACCCAGAATGGACCCCTGCGGAACCCGCCATTTAAGCTCTGTCACTGCAGAACTAAAATCCTTGATGGAGACACAAAAGGATCTGTCAGCAAGGTAGGATCTGAACCAATTGAGGGCTGACCCTGTGATGCCCACCCACTGCTCTAACCTAGCAATGAGGATCTCATGGTTGATGATGTCAAAAGCAGCTGTGAGGTCCAATAGGACAAGCAGCACAGAATCACCGGTATCTGTGGATCTGAATATGTCATTAAAAACCTTCAATAGGGCAGTTTCAGTGCTGTGGAGAGGTTTAAAGCCAGATTGGAATAGCTCTAGGATAGCGTGACCCTCCAAGAAGCACTTCAACTGGGACTCAACTATTTTCTCCAGTATTTTAGAAACAAATGGGAGTCTGGAGACTGGCCAGAAGTTGGATATGACTGAGGGGTCAAGGTTTGTTTGTTTTTTCAGAAGAGGCTGGACAGCAGCATGTTTAAAGGTTTTTGGCACCACACCAGTGGATAAACTACTGTTTACTATAGCCAGAATGGACGAACCTAGAGTGGTAAAAACCTCCTTTAGTAGTCGAGGGGGACCACATCAAAGGGGGAACCAGAAGGTTTCAAACTGCACATGACCTGCTCTAGAGAAGATAGAGTGATGGGTTCAAAATGGTCAAATAGAGCTACAGATTGAGGTGGGATGGATGGGTCATGAGTTTAAGGGGAAATGAGAGCCCTGGTGGTCGCAATGTTTTCCAAAAAGAAATGTAAGAAGTTCTCGCACAGCTCAGTCGAGGCTTCCAGAGGTGATGGTTCAGTGAGGTGGAGAACAGAATTTAGGGTAGAGAAGAGGACACGTGGGTTATGAGAGTTTGAGGTTGTGATATCAGAAAAGTATTTGGATTTAGCAGCTTTTACTGCTTTCTGATAACGGCGCCAACTCTCTTTAAGTATTTGAAAAGAGACCTGCAGCCTGTCTTTCCTCCATTTGCGCTCCGCCCTCCTGCACTGCTGCCTAACGGCCTTGGTGACGTCACTCAGCCAAGGTTCTGCTCTGAGTTTTGATTTTCTAGTTTTAACAGGAGCAACATGATCCAGAGTCTTTAAGCAGACAGAGTTGAACTGGGATGTCAGTGCCTCAGTGGTGGTGAGAAACACCAGGGGCTGAATTATCATTTCAGAGTTATAAACATCTGTGAAACTTGCGGCAGTGAAGTGGTTAATGGTCCGAGTCCTACGTGCAGGAATGCACGGCTTAGTAGTTAGATGGGGGAGGGTGAACGCAAACTGGACTGGCATGTGGTCTGAAAAAACATTATATTATAATATTATATTTAATATAATAATTATATTGTATTTATTTTATTTGAGGTCTTGGTCTTGCTTTCCCTCGGTCTTGGTCTCGGACCCTAAAAGTCTTGGTCTTGACTTGGTCTCGGATTAGGTGGACTTGAACACAACACAACTACAATGACTCTGACTATCTTGAGAAAAATTGTTGCAAAAATTTGTGGAACATGTATGAAATTCATGTGTCAGAACATGGCCCATGTGTGTCTCTGCAACTCAAAAAAGAAAACTGAGAACCTCTGAACATTGCAAGACAGTCAAGACTTCTTTCCATACTAATCATCAGCAATCCAAGCCCAGTGAAAAACTAGCTTAGAGCAAGTGCTCATCTTGGAACTCTGTCCTCTGGAAAGAGCAGATATGAAAAGCCAACATGCATGACAAGGAAATATCTCAAGCTAGTTGTGGTCTGTTGAAGGCATGGGACTACATGAGGTCACTGCTGAGCACTCCACAAGAAAAGCTACCAAAAACCTTACTGCTGCTGCAGAAAAGCATCAAAATGGTTGTAAATCAGGAGCAGTGATCTTCTGCTGCAAGCTACATACTGTATGTGGACTGATCAGAAACTGATGTACTAAAACCTGAAACACAGTTTGACTCAGAGCTGGTTGTAGGAAATCGGTTCCAACTGCACTGTTTGGTGTGTCAAGAAAACCACATGATCATCTGTTCATGAAAATCTGCTTCTCTTACTGCTGGAATCTGAGAATTTCCCACTGTGGTATAAATAAAGGTCCTTTTATTCTTATTCTTATCTGTTGAAGTCTGATGAAACACAATTTGACTGTTACTAATACTAACAGTTACATTTTGCACTATAAAAGCAAGTTGTTTGTCAGCGGTGCATAACATAAGGTAGTTAGATCAGGCTGATTTGTACTTTTTCCTGAAACAGCACTAAAGATGTTATCATTTGTTTCTACTATTTACTGTCACTTATAATAAAATAAACTTGTGCTTACCCGTCCATAGGGCAGTTTGCAGCTCTCCAGGGCATTCTCGACTCTTTTTCTGTCTGATGAAAACAGTCGAACAATGCTGTAACAGACAGACATCACAGCAGCTCTGCTTTAATTAAAACACTTCACCAAACCATGCAAACCAACATACAGTACATACCTGGTTACATTTAATTTATTTTAAAAGAAAAACCCCACTGAAATCTTGAGGTAGAAGTTCATGGACCTGAGAATTTTAGGAATAAACATTGCAGCCTTTTACTTCCTGTGGATTGTATTATTTGACCTCCTGTTCTAATATCAAAACTCCCACAAAAATGTTACTAGGACTGCTTTCTATCACCTGAACAGTATCACTAAGATTAGAAACGGTTTGTCCAAAAATAATGCCGAAAAACTTGTCCAAGCATTTATCATGTCCAGGCTGGACCATTGTAATTCTTTATTATCCGGCTGTCCAAACACACTTTATGTGTTCAGCTAAACATAATGCTGCTGATGAGAGTTAGAAGGTGAGACCATAGTTCTCCAATAGTTTCTCTCCATTGGCTCCCTGACAGTTTCAGAAGAGAATTTAAAATCATACTTCTAAGCTCCATCTTATATTTAAGATCTTAAAGATTGTAAGCCTGAATGTGGGTTTACTTGTTGCTCCTAGAGTTTCTGAGAGGCAGAGCTTTTCTCTCTTGTTGAACCAACATCCATTTTCTGTCAGTCAGTCAATCAATCAATCAATCAATCAATCAATCAATCAATCAATCAATCAATCAATCAATCAATCAATCAATCAATCAATCAATCAGTCAATAATTTACCATTTATTCAATGAGCCCTTTCCAACAGCTACAAGGTGCACAAAGTGCTTCAAATACAAAAGGTAAAAACAAGAAAAAACACAAAAGTGCCAGAGAGCCACTAGGTATTAAAAGCCTGCCTGAAAAAAAAAACATTTTAAGATTAGATTTCAAAAGACCCAGATCAGTGATGGAGCACAAGTTCTGAGATAGTTGGTTCCAGAGACTGGGTGCAGCAACCAAGAAGGTCCGGTCACACCATCATTTGTATTTGGACTTCTGGACAAACAGTAAAAAAAGTATAAGATCATCTTAATGTCCTCTTCTACATGAAAATAAACCAGACCAGCTAAATAAGGTGGGGTGAGACCATTAAGAGCTTAAAAGTGACCAATAAAACATCAAAATCAATTCTAAAATGGACAGGAAGCCAATGAAGAGAAAACAAAACCGGCCGGGGTGATGCGTTCACGTCTGGGGGTGTTGGTTAAAAGACGGGCAGCATTTTGTACCAGCTGAAGGCATCTGATGGAGGATTGGGAGATACCTACATACAGAGCATTGCAGTAGTCATCATGATCATCTGTCCATGAGGCTAACACTCTACTGTACGTGTAGGGACAGCTGTGGCTGAGTGGTTAGAGCAGTCATCCTCCAGTGAGAGAGTTGGGGGTTCAATTCCACCAGCAGTCACATGCTGAAGTGTCCCTGGGCAAGACAATGAACCCCTCATTGCCTCTGATGTGTGTCCCATCAATGTATCAATGTGATCTAAAGCTCTGATTAGTCTTTGTATAGATGTAGTAGAGTGCTGTATGAATGTCTGTGTGGAGGTAAATGAGGGCACAGGTCGTGCTGTAAAGTGCTTTGTGTTTCTTGATTAGATACAAAAGCAATAAACAAGTACTGTACAGTCCATTTAAGACTCAGCTGAAGACTGTCCTTTTCATAAATCCTATAGTCTCGGTTGGCCTGGGTTTATCCCTTAGTTCTGCTGCTATAGGCAAAGACTCTGGAGGACAAAGTTATTTTTGTGCAGTCTTTTCTTGCTCTACTCTTTTGTGTTGATCTTTCTATAGAAACTCCATCCATCCGTCCGTCCGTCCATCCATCCATCCATCCATCCATCCATAAGCTTTTACCCACTTCTTCCTTTTTGGGTCACGGGGGTCACTGGTGCCCATGTTCTGCTATCACTGTGTGAAGGCGGGAGACACTCTGGACGGGTCTCCAGTCCATCACAGGGCCACATAGAGACAAACGAGACAAACAACCATTCACTCTCTCACTCACACCTAGAGACAATTTAGAGTTACCAATCAGTCTAACATGCATGTTTTTGGTCTGTGGGAGGAAACTGGAGTACCTGGAGAAAACCCACACATGCACGGAGAGAACATGGAAACTACACCAAGAAAGGCCTCGGGCTGGGATTTGAACCGGCAACCTTCTTGTTGAAAGGCAACAGGTCTACAAACTGCACCACTGTGTCGCCCTAACAGAAACTCCACTTGGACCAAAGTATTTTTGTTAGTCTGTGTCTCTTTCCTGTCCTCATTAACTTCAGCCAGTCAAGGCAGATGGCTTCCGTCCTGGTCCTGGTCCTGGTCCTGGTCCTGCTGGAGATTTCTTCCTTTTTAAAGGAAGTTGTTTCTTTCCACTGTCACTAATGTGCTGCTCAGGATGAGGGACTGAAACAAACAACGTATTCAACACAATCTGCAGACTTCCTTAGATAACTTTAACAAATTTTAATTTCACAATGTTCTGAACTGACAATAGTTGAATTTATGTTTTGGACTCGTTTAATTTCTTTGAACTGAGCCAGGAGATGACTTCTCTTCTAGACTTCAAACATCTCTTAAAGCTTCTCTGACAAACTTCCTTCTTACAGCTTCCTTTCTACTCACTCAAATATCAACTGACCTTAATTCTGCTCTGAGTTTGCTCTTAATATACAGCTTCCTTCATAAATGTATAATCCACCTCACGCTCTGCTTGATTACCAGGTCAGAGCTGAATTAGGCACTTTCATGAATCATGTCCCTGTTTTTGCTTCCCCAAGTGCTCGTGGAATTAACTTTATTTTTGGAAGCAAGGGGCGGGAAAGAGCAAAGTTTAAGTTTGTGAGCGTCTCTGCAGATTTCGTCTTTAACAAGCAACTGCTGTCTCATGTGCCTCAGACTTTACGCTCTGACAGAAGCACAGGTTGGAGATGAGGAGAGGAACTGTTAGCAGGAACTCACTTTTTGACAGGAATCCTTCCTTCTGCGTTGGGCTGAAGGGTTAATCTGACGTACCTGAGACAGACAAATTTCACTGGATAAACAAGTTTTTAAAGAAAAATCAGTGAAAATGTATTTATCAAGGCAATTAAATGATGTTTCACATGACAATGTTTCTTGAGGAACAATAAATATTTTATCTACTGCCATTATAGATCATATCTTTGAGACTTTCAGAGTTTTAATTATACTAAAGTGTGTGGGACATCAAATTTACTTTTAAAATTACAAATGTATTATTGGAACAATTAGATTATTTACACGTTGCTAATAAAGCATCGCTGCAATGACAAACAACAGAGACAGTAGATGAGAATCTGATGCTTCTTTAGATTATTTAGAGTCACTATGAGAGATGAGTCGATCTGCTGTCTAATACACCTTATTATTTTACTTTATTAGTGTTTAGCGTATATCTTGGTGTATCTCTTAAATTCTTGTATACTGTTTCTTTTTATACATTATATTTTTGCTATTATGGGGTGTAACTGAGACCTTGTGTACATAATTTCATTCCACCTCATGTACCACATGTGATGGAAATGACAATAAAGAACCTTGAACTTGAACATGAACAGTCAGTGTTCATATAAACAAAGACCAGGAAGTTTCCCTATGATGTCACTTCCTGCTTCACTTTTCCTGCTCTAAGTTCAAAAGAAAATATACCAGTTATGTATGGAGGGTGGAATGTGACAAAGTTAAATAAATAAATACGTCATGAAATAAATAAATGTAAATGTCCAATTAAAATGTCTCATGAAATAATTAAATGTATCATTTAATATTTATTCATCTCTTTATTTATTATTTATTTATTATTTCATCTCTTTATTTATCTAATTATTCCCATTAAGTCTAATGTTTCCTGACAGAGCAAAGTTAAACCCTCAAACTAAAATTATTTTACACCAACCAGTGATTGTCCATTACGTCCTGAGTGTGGCCCCAATCCTGTCGTCATCTCCATAAATTTCCTGAAGGTTCCTTGCTCATTGTGAACTTATTTAGTGAAAATAACATGTGTTTGTTTGTGTTATTTGTGTCATTTGTGAGGCCCATTTTTCAACACATACTACATTATGAGGACCAACTGCTCTTTGTGGGGACCGAAGCCTGGTCCCCATAAGAAGAAGTGCAGTTGGTGTGTTAGGGGTTAGGTTTAGGACTAAGGGGTGAATTGACGATAGGTTAAGTATGTACTGGTATGGTTAGGATAAGGGTCAGGGATAGGATATAGAAATGAAAGAAAAATGAATGGAAGTCAATGCAAAGTCCCTGTAAAGATGGTAACACAAATGTGTGTGTGTGTGTGTGTGTGTGTGTGTGTGGGTGGTGGTGGTGGTGGTGGGGGGGTGGTACTTACCCCTTCAGCAGACTGTGGTCTCTGTTGAGATTGTAGCTCAACAGGTTGGAAGACAGAGAAAACAGGTCCTCACACCACAACTGCAACAACACCCCCTCATCATCATCATCATCGTCATCATCGTCATCATCGTCATCATCGTCATCATCGTCATCATCATCATCATCATCATCATCATAAACATCTTTCAGTGCTGAGATCATTACCTTGGCTTCGTCCTCCTGTGAAGCGATGAAGTTAAGTTGGCTAACATTTACGAGGTCTGAGGCGGTAACCACGGTAACCATGCGGTTCTCTAGCCGCCCAACGAGGTTTCCAACATCGAGCAGCTCCCTCAGCTTAGCTTCCTATTGGATGCCACAAAATAAAAGTTGTTAGCTGAAACTGATCCGAGATGGAGGCAACCTATCAGCAGATAGTTTAGGTTAGGGAATAAAATGTCTCTTTATACTTTAACTTTAGCTACTGTTGAGCTGAGGGTGGTAACCAGTTTTACAACTTTAGCAACTATTTTCTTAATTTTAGCTATTTTATACGTTTTAGCTGCTGTTATGTTCTGTTTTTTTTGTTTTTTTTCAGTTAGCAAAATAAAAAAAAATAAAAAAACATTGAAAAGTTTAGATCATGACATTATATTTTAAGAAACAATTTGGTCAAAATTGTGTGAAGTTACAAGTATATGGAAATTTGGCAGACTAAAATCAGGTTAAAAAATTATTTGTATGGTTATCAAACCATAAGTGGTTTTCTTTTTGTCCCTCATCTTGGAGCAAAAAAGGGGGAATTTGAAATACCCTCCATCCATCCGTGCATGTTTTGAGCATGATAACTTGAACAGTAAGTGAGAAACAAACTTTTATTTTGGTGTGTGCCTGTGTTAAAGCGTAAGAAAGGTCCCTTTCCAAAACCAGTCAGTGATTTTTGTGATTTTTAACGTCAGCAGGTCAGGGCAGCCATCCAAAAAATGAAACTGACTCAAAAATTAATCAGTTGTAGACGTACATCCAAAGATTACTTTCTAAAAGTTTTAAATAAAACCACTTGTCCGTGGGATATTTTGTTAACAAACAAGAAAAAAAACAGAAAAAATTTAGGTTAGTTTATCAAACTAGTATCCCAGAAACAAACAAACAAACAAACAATAAAATATGTAAAGAAAAACATAATTCTTTTGCTACATTAAAGGAGACTAAGAGGTCACTAACAGGGCACAGGAGTGGAGGCAGGGAGAAAATCAAAAAGGAGGAAAGAGATGGTGAAAAACTGAAACAGATATGAAGGTCAGGGGTCATCATGAGGTGGGTCGGGATGGTACCTTAGCTGTTTTGGTGCTTCTACCCGTTCTGACATCCCTCACGAAGGTGAGGTCCAACAGTTCTGTGTCCTGATGGGAGCAAATACACCCAGAGTTAGTTTTTATCAGAGTGTTTGCTTGTGTTCAGATATTTAACCTGACTCAAAGAAAAAAAACATGTTTACATAAAGCATAAATAAACAAATAAATAAAGACATATATAGATATTAAACAAAAAGATAAACTGTTTTCTGTGAAAATGTGTAAGGCTGAGAGCTGAACGACTTTAATAAAGTTTATTGCAGAAGCTGAAACTGAGCTGTTAAAGCTAAAAAAAGCAGAACACCAGCTAAAAGCTAAAGTAGCGAACACTAGCTAAACGAAGCAGAACACCAGAAAAAAGAAAAAAAAGCAAGAAAACGTTAGCACAAAGCTAAAAAATAGCTAAATGCTAATTAAAAGCCATAGGTTTCAAAATGCTAAGTAAAACTAGCAAAATTCTAGCTAAAAGCTAAAATACCAAAATGTTAGCTATGAGCTAAAAGTTGCAATAATTAAGCAAAAAGCAGAGAAAGCAGCAAAGATCAAATGGACGCTATTCAAAAATAACATAAGGCTAGCTGAAAGCTAAAGTAAGTGTTGCAAAATGTAGAAGAATCTTAATAAGAAACTAAATGTAAATAAGATACAAATAGAAAAAAAAAGAAAGCAAAAAGTAAAAGCGATTGAAAGGCTGATATATTTAGCTTTTGCTTACTTTCCACTTTTTGCTCGTCTTTTGTTACTTTTAGCTTCTAGACAGGTCTTTGTAATTTAAGTTAGCCATTTCCTATTTTAGCATCAACCAAAGCATTTTCTCATTATTTTTAGTGTTTAGCTGGCGTTTTGTTGATTTTACCACCTTCTAGTTAGCCTTTTGAATCAATTACTTTTTTTTAATACTTTTAGTTTTTAGGTAGCATTTTTCTACATTTAGGTTTTACTTAAGGTTTTGTTTCTTTTAGCTTTTAGTTACTATTCTGCTTTTTTAGCTTTAATGACCTACTAGTAGTTTTAGCCTTTTCTGCAAAATTCAAAGCCATTCAGCAGATCATTAATTCTTTAGTTCACATTTAATTCACAACTTTCTGAAAAAGTTTTTTTTTATTATTATTATTATTAATTCTAAAATGAATCATTAAAAGTCAAATTTGTGATGAGTGAAGTTTGCTGCTCGTTGATATTATTATCCAGGAAGAGGAGATGATGAATGAGGACGTCTTGACCTTTTGTTGGTTTTCTATACTTAACCTTGTTCTGGTCGGTCCAGTAGAGATAAAATCCATGTGGATCCACATGTAGAGTCACTGGAGTGACAGTAGATAAGTCCTGGAAAGATAAATGGAGCCAATAAGAGAAAATAAATTAACATCTGCAAATGCAATCAACCTTAGCTTGGGCCAATGTCAGGTCATCCTGGAGTTTTAAACTCATGTTGAGATGGGTCAGTATTTTATGCTTTGGATAAATTTTACACTTGAAATGAAAACAAAAATAACCTTATGTGAAACGTTGTGCGGTATAACACATCCAGATTATGTGTTGTAAATGACTGTCAGCAACTACCACACCAAATTTGAGCTCAATCTCCCTAAAACTGAACAAGTTATGGCAACTTTTATGTTGGCTAATTTTCCATTACCTGTAGCAGCCATTTGAATTGAATTGACTTTGGATTGTTCACTGCAAGTTTCAATAATGTACCTCCATTTGTCAACACCCCCCCCCCCCACCCCACCCCACACACACACACACACAGATTTATCAAATCAAACGTGAACATCGAGGGGTCATGGGAGTTTGCTCATCCAGTCTACATGTGTTTTCTTGACTTGGAGGAGGCTTTCCACCGTGTTCCTCGAGGTACACTGTGGGGAGTGCTCCGTGAGTATGGGATTGGGGGCCCATTGCTACGGGCTGTTTGGTCCATATATAAGCGATGTGAGAGTTTGTTTCACATTGCTGGTAGTAAGTCGGACCCCTTCAGGGTGGGAGTTGGACTCCACCAGGGGTGTCCGTTGTCACAGATTCTGTTCATAACTTTTATGGACAGAATTTCTCGGTGCAGCCAGGGGGTGGAGGGATTCCAGTTTGGTGGCTACTCTTTGCAGATGATGTGGTCTTGCTGGCATCATCATGCCGGGACCTTCAGCTCTCACTGGAGCAGTTTGCAGCCGAGTGTGAAGCGGCTGGAATGAAAATCAGCACCTCCAAATCTGAGGCCACGGTCCTCAGTTGGCAAAGGGTGGATTGCTCTCTTCGAGTTGAGGGTGAGGTTCTGCCTCAGGTGGAGGAGTTCAAGTATCTCAGGGTTTTGTTCACGAGGGAGGAAAAATGGAGCGTGAGATTGACAGACGTATTGGTGCAGCGTCTGCAGTATTGCGGACTCTGTACTGGTCCATTGTGGTAAAGAGGGAGATGAGCTGTAAGGCAAAGCTCTCTGTTTACCGGTCGGTCTACATTCCTACCCTCACCTATGGTCACAAACTCTAAGTAGTGAGGCAAAAGGGCCTTCTCATACTCTGCTCATGTTTCCTGTAATATCTTACAAAAAGATCTGAAGCTCTCGACCTTGGCCTCTCTAAGTGGCTTTAAGAATCTGTTGGACTCCTGGCAAGGACCAATGCAGACATGTTCCTGTTTTTAGTTTTCTACATTTGCCTTAGAATCTAGCTGTTTTTTGTTACTTTTCTTTTTTTAGCCATCCTATTTGTTAAAAAAAAATCTCTGTATGCCTTTTTATAACTGTCTATTGTTGTTGCTGTTGTCAGTTGTTGTCATCATTCTTTGTTGAAATCAGGTCTCTCTTGTAAATGAGTCCTCGAGGCTCAATGGGATCTACCTGTCTAAATAAAGGTTGAATGAAAAAAACACCACCAGCCTGATCAAAAAAGCTCATCAGAGACTCTATTTACTCAGGAGGCTGAGACGAGCTGGTCTGGGAAGCTCAGTCCTCACCTCCTTCTACAGGTGTGCAGTGGAGAGCATCCTGTGCTCCAGCATCAACGTGTGGCATGGAGGCTGCACAGCTGCAGAAAGAAAAGCTTTGCAGAGAGTGGTGAAGGCTGCACAGAAGACTGTTGGAGTCAGGCTCCCGACCATTCAGACATTTACACCTCCAGATGCAGGAAGAGGGCCACCTGCATCATGAAGGACCCCACTCACCCAGCACACACACATTTTGTCCCGCTCCTGTCAGGAAGGAGGTTGAGGAGCATTAAGTGTAGAACCACTAGACTGAGGAACAGCTTCTACCCTGAGGCTGTTAGACTCATGAATCTCTAACCAGAATAATCACTGTGAAAAAATCACATCATGTTGCTGCTGATCTGTTTCAATGTTGCTGCTGATCTGTTTCATGTTGATGTGTTCATTTGTACTCATCTGCTCACACAGACTCATGTTCGTGCTGCTGTTCAGTGTATTGTTTTTGTTCTTAGTGCTTAGTGTACTTTTAGTTAACGTTTTTGTTAGTTCATATCTTAGATCTTATTACTGTTTTTCTTTTACATTTTATACGTTTGTTGACTGTAACTGCGACCCTGTGTACACAATTTTGTTCCACCACATGTACCACATGTGGCGTGTATAACAAATAAAGAATCTTGAACCTTGTTTTTCATGTAGTTTGAACACAGAAAATGAGAAAAGCACAAATTGGCAATCAACTAAATAAGCGTTTCAAAATATGTGGGTTTAGGTCTTTAGAGTCTGTAAATAATTTTGCATGTGTTTGAGAAGCTCGTGCTGTTTTCTTCATGACAGCACAGCCTGGATCCAGACAAATAAAACAGGACAAATGCTCAGAAAATAGTTAACCTGTGACCTTGTTGTCACCCATTGTTTTAGAAACAAAATTCCATCCATCCATTTTCTTTACCCGCTTATTCCATTTTGGGTCACGGGGGTCGCTGGTGCCCATGTCCAGCAATCACTGTGCGAGGGGCGGGGTACACCCTGGACGGGTCGCAAGTCCATCACAGGGCCACATAGAGACAAATGAGACAAACAACCATTCACTCTCTCACTCACACCTAGGGACAATTTAGAGTTACCAATCAGCCTAACATGCATGTTTTTGGTCTGTGGGAGGAAACCGGAGTACCCGGAGAAAACCCACGCATGCACGGAGAGAACATGCAAACTCCACCCAGAAAGGCCCCTGGACCGGGTTTGAACCAGGGACCTGCTCGCTGAGAGGCAGCAGCTCTACCAGTTGCGCCACCTTGCTGCCTAGAAACAAACTTGTTTAATGTATTTATTATTTATTTATTTTTAAAAGCTCAGTTTTTGTAATGTTTTCAGAAATTCAAGCATTGAGCAAATTCAGTGTAAATCCTCAAAGGATGATATTAAATATCTCAAACTCACATTGTCTTTTTGTTTGTTCGGTCATACAGTCAGATGTGTTTCGGTGGTTTTAACCATGACAGTTACCATAGCGACCGGACTGAAAATATTTCATTGTCAAGGCTGTGTACTTCAACATGCCAACACACACTCTGCAAACATTCACTATTACGTGTCTGATTGAGCTCATGAAGGAAATTCAAAGAGTTGTCTGTGTGTGTGTGTGTGTGTGTGTGTGTGTGTGTGTGTGTGTGTGTGT